GAGCGCCTGCTTCTCGTCCTCTACGCTAACCTTCTGTGCGCGGCCAGCGCCACGGCTGCCAATCTGTGCCGCCGCCAATACGGCATCTGTCGGCAGCATGCTGAACTCCAAGAAGTTCAAGTTCGCACCGTACGGCCGATTGGTCAAGTCTGCCATGAGCATGTTCGACCTCCGGACCACACGGGTGTCGAAGTAGGAGCCCGCCAGCCCCCTCTGAGGGCGCCAGGCTGAGGGGGACACTGCTGGGACTGCTGTTCTGCTTCTTGACCTTCTGAAGCACTCTTCTCCTGGTGCCTGACAGGGAGCCCACAAAGACGTATGTGCCCAACCACGTACATGAACACGGCCCCCCAGTCCGGGAGAACAGCCGCGAGATACGAACGTTGGCGCAATGCATACTCTCGAAACCAACGTGGATCCACAAGAGTAACAAACAACGGCATAAACCTAAACTTTCGGCGCCAGGTCCAAGAAATCCGCGAGGAGCGTGCAACATCTATGCTTATGCCAGTTTCTTTGCTCGAGAGGTACGAACGTTGGCGCAACGCGGACTCTCGAAGCCCACGTGGGTTCACTCCTCCTCCTCTTCCTCCTCCTCCTCCTCGTCCTCCTCCTCCTCCTCCTCGTGCTCCTCGTGCTCCTCCTCCTCCTCCTCCTCCTCCTCCTCCTCCTCCTCCTCCTCCCGCTCCTCTTCTTCGATCCTCCTCCTCCTCCTTCTCCTCCTCCTCCTCCTCCTCCTCTTTCTTCTCCTCCCCCTCCTTCCCCCACCCCCCCGGGGCTGTGCGTCCTTCCTTCGCTCCCTGGCCCGAGGCCGCCCCTGCGCGCTCCCGCTCCGCCCACGCCCTCGCGGCGGCCCGGGCATCCTCTCCCCACCTCGGCCTGTCGCGGCCGCCCCCTCTCGGGCGCACGCCAGCATGGACCGCTCCGAGTTTCTTCATTTACCAGCCTGGAACATATCCCTATCCCTATGCTGGGCACCTCCTGATCACGATGCCAATCTTAGGGATTCCCTTATTTTTTGGGGGGGCGAATCCCTAAGATTGTCATCGCCTTTTGGCATGTCAATCTTAGGGATAGGGATACGTTCGAGGCTGGTAATTAATGAGCGTCGGGGGGGGGGCGTCACCCCAGCCGGCAGCCCCACATCGACCCCCGTCGCGGGCAGCCACCGCGCGCCGAAGGCGAGGTTGACCCCCGTCGCGGCGCGACGACGAGGCGAGGTTGACCCCCGTCGGGGGGTACCCCCCCACGCTTATTAAGAAAACCCGTGGCCTGGGAGAGAGCCTCCTAAGGAAGCCTTCGAGGGACAACAGAACATCGACCACACAACTGCTTGTTCGGATGCTTCCCCCCACATCGTTTCTGCTAAGACCGAAAGAGTTCACGCACATGTATCACGCATCTGTTCACGAATCTACACTACTTGCCCCTCCACAACACGCCCACCCCCACCCACACACGCACACAATCACAATACACGAAGAAACATCCCTCTATGCCTCCCGGAGGACCGCAGTGCGTCCAGATGCGTAATTCAACAAATGTGCAGAACCGAGGCCGTACGACACTGAAAAATTGCATCGTCGCTTCCCACTTGTGGGCACGATTTCCAGGGAGCGACGGGGAATGCGCCGAAGACGTGTTTGATAAATATGGGGCCCACGCCAAACACCTAGCTTCTTATCCTCTGATATCTTGGCCATATTCGCATCCAAATCCTCGGATCGAGACTTGAGCTTCGTCTTGCCGGTCCCAAACTCGATGCTGCAGCCTTTTACGCCCCACCTATCCCGTTCAGGAATGAATCCGCCCAGTGCGAATGGATCTCCCATCTTGGCACGGACCTCGTCGCCTGCGCTGGCCATTACCGACCTCGTCTTCAGCGTTCCCCCAGAAGCAGTAACATCCGTACCGCCTCCTGAGCAATAACAGATGGCAGTTCTGAGTTCCTCACCGTACTCTTCCCTCATCTTCTGAGCGCATAAGTAGGTGGCAAGATCAGGAAAGCCCCCGGCTGATGCAGCGCTGGGTACAACTATAACCCCAGCCTCTACTGCCTTTTTGTGGAGCTCCATGATGCGCAGGGACCATGGGATCTCTCCGCTGATGTCGACGTATGATACGCCGAGGTCGATGCACAAGTCGACCAAGAGTTCGCCCTGGGTAGCCATGTATGGCCCAGCCACGTTTACGATTACCCGCGCGCTCCTCACAAGATCAATGATGGAAACGGGATCGTCGTACGACATCATCAGTACCGGGGTGTCCGCCCACTGCGTGCCTGCGAATTCGCGGTCCCGCATCTCCTCCACCTTCCTCACAGTTCTGCCCGCGAACGCAAACGTGAACGACTCTGGAGTGACCTTCAGCGCAACGCGCTTGAGGTACTCCATCATCAGATACCCAGTGTAGCCAGAAACGCCATAAAACACTATGTCGTATACTTTGCCATCCCAGTTGCTGCACGTGTCGAAAGTGCGGTATTTCTTCAAGTATTTCTCGTACTCTGCCAGGGCTACCTTGTCCTTGCCTTCGGTCTCCACAACTGCCTCCCACGACAGTGCGAGCGGTTCGTACTGGGAGACCAACTCATCGGAGTAAAACACTTTCTCAAATGGTGACACAAACGCATGCTCTGCAACCGTGCTCGTCATTGCTGCTATCTGGTGCTATCGTGGCTACCGCGAGCCATCAGCATCGAGCCTCAGTGGGCGCAGCGGGGCACGTCGATCATGAGGCCAGTGACAAGCAAGACTCGGGTTCGGGGGACTCGGGCTGGCCCGACGGGGCCATCATGAAAATGGCGAGACCCAATCCGAAGTTTGAAGCGAGCTCCTGCTGCGAACACCCCACGCAAACCGGACCGTCAATATCCAGGACGCGGCCGCCAAGACGCGTCGCCGCAAGCCCGCGTTCTGGCGTCCTCGAGTCTGACTTTCCCCCGACAGAAGGACAGGATAGCGCAGAATCGAATCGATTCTCCAAGGCACGCTCTGACCAGGATCTCGAGGCGAGTCGGGCCGCGGCGAAAGAGGGCCCCACAGCTGGCCCAAGAGTAGTGAAAGCGAGGGAATGGCATCGACGACGTTGATTATCTTCGCGCCCCCTTGGGTGATCGAAATGAATCGGAATCGGCCGGAAATCGGCAGCCGAGTCAGGAGAAGACGAATCGGCAGAGATCGGCAGAGCAGTGAGTCTCCATGGAGACATCGGAGCCCCAACTGGAATCCCGAGTCGAGTCGAATCGGAATCGGAGGCCACCGAAGTCGCAACGAATCGAATCGGAGGAATCGAAAAGAGCCCAGGAAGGATGATTTAGGGGAACGAAGAGTAACATAAACACAAAAACTCTGAGGCCCGCGCTGATTTCTCGGATTCTGGCCCTGGACCCCCCTCCCTGGCGCGCGGAGCGCGCCAGGGTCGGCGCCGGAGGCGCCGCCAAGGGGAGTCCAGCGCGGATCCGAGAAATCCGCGCGGACCTCCGAGTTTTATGTTTATGTCACTCTTCGTTCTTCGTTCCCGTATGACTACCTACCAGACCACCCCAACCCAACCCGAAGACCCGAATTTGAGCCGAATTTCGGGTTGGGGGGGGTACGGGTTCCATGTGTTTTTTCAACGTTCCTCGACCCCCCCCCACTGGAAATGGGTGGTCTGGTAGGTGGTGAGTATGGTTTCTGGCACCGCGCGGCGCTCCGGCAGCTCGCTCCCTGCACGGTCGCGGCTCTCCGGTCCCCGAGCCGCTTTTTTGACGGTCCCGAGGGCCGGTGAGGGCCCCCCGAGGCCGAAAATTAGCAAAAAGCCTCCCGTCGTGATTTTGTTCATTGCCCGAGGGGGTCTGGGCAGGGCTGGCTTAACCGACACCTGGCCATCGCTCGGAGGTCCATTCCCTGTGCCTCTCTCGGTTTCCTGCGTCGCTTTTTTCGCAGGATGATCCAGGCTGCTCCTGAATAGTCCCCGCCGAGGAAAAGTGCACACGTCCGAGCGATACCACCGCGCGGCGCTCCGGCAGCTCGCTCCCTGCACGGTCGCGGCTCTCCCCAGCAGCGCAGCTGACTCGATGAGCAGCTGACTCGAGAACCCCCCCAGGTCAACGACCATCGGCACGTCGACTCGGTATGTTAGTTGGCTCACTTCGTCGACTCGCAAGGGTACGTCAACTCGGTTCGTGAACTTGGCACGCCAACTCGCATCGGTGCGTAAACGCAGCTCGCAAACCCACATCGGCACGCCGACTCGGCACGTCAACTCGGCCAGTCAGTCCGCATCGGTACGGCAACTCGGCGTATCGATTCGGTGCGTCAGCTCGGTGTGTCACCTCGGTCGGTCAACTCTTGCGCGTCACCTGGGGGCCTCCTCGGAAGGGCGCACTGCCTCCCCGGGCGCTACACGGCTTCCCCCGGGGCCGTAGGCGACCCGAGGAGGAGGAGGAGAAGGAGGAGGAGGAGGAGGAGGAGGCGGAGGAGGAGGAGGAGGAGGAGGAGGAGGAAGGGGAGGAGGAGAGAAGGAGGAGGAGGAGGAGGAGGAGGATGGAGGAGTAGAGGAGGGAGAGGAGGAGATGGAGGAGGAGGAGGAGGAGGAGGAGGAGGAGGAGGAGGAGGAGGAGGAGGAGGACGGGTCGCCTAAGCCCTTCGGAGAAACCCTCCACCGGGCGCCCCGCTGCTCCCCGCGCTCGCCGTTCTCGCCGCAGCCCCTTCCGCAAGACGAGACGCTGCGCGCAGGCCGCCCCCCCCCCGCCGCCCCCGCCGCCACCGCGTCGTCGCAGTCTGGGGGACACACTTACCCAGTCGGGTCGGAAGGAGCAGGTAGAACCAGGAAGCAGGAAGGCGCTGGAAGTAGATTGGGTTTCGGCCCTCCCTCCTCTAGAGGAGGGAGGGAAGAGACGCCACTCGACTCTTGAAGTAGGAAGGCGGCTGAAGCAGATTGGGCACTGGGAATGCCAAGATACCTACTTTCGACGACCGATGGGCATACAGTAGGGATCCGACCACAAGACACCCAACCCTGAGAGCCCAGGACGTCCATTGATTTGTGGTGTGGGAGCGTCGCGGTCTCCATCGCAGAACCACCGAGACCCAAGAAACCCAGGGCACCCTGGAGGCAAGCAGGGTGCTTCTTGGCGTGGATCTCCACTGTACTTGGCCCGGGTCAGCTCGAGCCCGGGGTCGGCCCTGTCGCGAGGCCGGGCCGGCCGCTCGGTATAGCTCCCGTCAAACGGGGGCCACCGGAAGGCGGCGAGAGGGTACTGGCCCCCACGTGGCTTCCACGCAGGGGCCGGGGCCAGCAAGAGGGGGTTGCCTGACCCCCGTCAGTTGACGCGCGGCGTCGTCGGCGGCGGCGGCGGCGGCGGCGGCGGCGGCGTCGTCGTCGTCGTCGTCGTCGTCGTCGTCGTCGTCGTCGTCGCCACCGCCCCGCTCCTGCAACATCACGAAGACCACGAGCTCGCCGTCCTCGGGGGCGGGGCAGCCCGGCCCCAGACCCGCTCACAAAGGGGTCCGAAACGCCTCCCGAGGTCCAACCTGGCCCGTTTCTTGAGGCGACTCCGGCCGCAGCACAGAGGATCGGCACGCCATACTTGTGGATGCCATGACAATGGACACTCTAACAATCCGATCATCGAGTTAAAGATGAGTTTAAGATGTGTAAAGCATGTTCGAAACATGTTTCGGACCTGCTCTTACCATATTTAAAAGCATACTTGACACAGGGCGCGGCCTCAGGGGGCGCGGGGGGGGGGGCCAAACCTAGGCGCGCAAGCCGCTGCCGCGCAAAAGGACGGAGGACCCAAGTGGGCCCCACACCGAGCCCAGAAGAAGAAACGACGGCATACATACATAAACTGTCCGAGGCCCGCGCGGATGTCTTGGGCGCGCCACGGACGGCACCGTCCTCCTCCTCCTCCTCCTCCTCCCTCCTCTCCCTCCTCCTCCTCCTCCTCCTCCTCCTCCTCCTCCCTCCCCCTCCTCCTCGGAGGGTCGCTCTCACGTGCAGCCGAGAAATGTTTCTCGGCTGCACGTATACGAGCGACCCTCCGGTTGGGATTCGGGGTCACCGCACGGTCTTGGGGCTCGAGCCGGTCTCCGAGGATGCATCGGGCGACGGGGGCCTCCGGGGTCCCAAGACCGTGCGGTGACGGACCGTGCGGTGGGGTCTTGGAAAGGATTGCGAGGTCACCGCGCGGACCGTCACCGCACCGTTGCGGGACTCCAGAGTGGCACGGGCGGATCACGGAGAGCAGGTGGGGAGTCTCCGAGGTGGCCCAGCAGTGCTGCTGGCCAGCGGGGATGGGGGGGGGCGAGGTTGGACGTTCCTGGGGCCGAAGGACCTTGTTTCAAAGGTTCAGGCAAGCTTGCTCGCATGGCGTTCGCCCCCCCCCCCCCCACCCACCCACCCTACTCGCCCCTCTTCGGACGAATACCATAGCGTGCAAGCGCCTTTCGACCTGCGTGATTGCCGCACGTGCAAGCCGTTAGCGGCCTGCTTCGCGTTCAGAGCCCCTCCCCCCCGCCCATGCAAGGAATTTGGCCGGAGTCTAAAACAAATGCTCAAGAGATGTTTTACCTTTCTCTATCCCCGGGCACCGTTTCCAGGCCCTGGGACCGTCAGAACCGTCCCCAAATTGTTCCCGGGTGAATCGAATGCACCTGATGGACCCCGGACCGATCTTGAGCTCAAATTGCTCTTATCCCCCACTCTTGTGGTCCGTCCAGCGCGGAACCCCGGCCGCCTCCAATCCGAAACCCTGATGACACAGTGACTGAAGGCGTAGCCTGCCGCGCCGCTTGGGGGTGGGGCGGGGCTGCGCGCGCGAGGTCGGGGGGGGGGCGAGGAGGAGGAGGAGGGAGGAGGAGGAGGAGGAGAGGCGGAGGAGGAGAGGAGGAGGAGGAGGAAGGAGGAGAGGAGGAGGGGGATGCACTGGGGGTAGCAGGACGGGCGGCCCGGCTCGATGCGTCCGCCACAAGCGCGGCCCCCCTCCCGAACGCCCTGGGCCCCGAAGGGCTCCAGACCTCCGGGGAGCTGCGCTGTCAGCTGTCCGGGTGCGGCCATCATCTTCGTCGGGCCCGTCGCGTGGGCCCCGAGATCGGCGCGCGCGCGCACCCCGAGGGCTCGGCCGGGATGGCATGCCCAGCGGTCGGAAGGAGCAGGCAGAAGCACGGAGAGCAGGACGGCGCTCGGCGGCAGACGGGGCCTCCGCGCGCCCCCCCCAACGACGAGGGGAGGGGGGCAGCACGCTCGTCGACCGAAGTAGGAAGGCGCCTGAAGCAGATTGGGATATACCTGCTTTCAGCGACCGCTGGGTACACCCTGCGAAATGCTTAAGAAATCATGGGTTAAGAAATTCATAGTCTCAGAATTTTAATAAAAACCCAGAATGTCTATTCAAATCTTAGGATTTACATTGAAACGTTAAGAATAATCGAGACTCTGGCCGAAAACTTAGGTTTTCTTAAGCATCGCCTAAGGTGTACACCGCAAGGTCGGAGCGCGGCCGCGCGAGAG